CAGGTGGTGCATTCACTGACCTCCAGGTTTGTTTGGCTGCAGGTGGTGCATTCACTGACCTCCAGGTTTGTTTGGCTGCAGGTGGTGCATTCACTGACCTCCAGGTTTGTTTGGCTGCATGTGGTGCATTCACTGACCTCCAGGTCTGTTTGGCTGCAGGTGGTGCATTCACTGACCTCCAGGTTTGTTTGGCTGCAGGTGGTGCATTCACTGACCTCTCAGCCTTTATTTACTCTGTGATTTAAAGTTTAAATTTAACGTAAACTAGATGTTTGTTAAAACGTTTGTGTTTAATAAAGTTTATTCAGGCTGAAGACGAGCTGCTGTTGTGCAACATTTCCACTTAGTGTTTCTTTGACCTTATAAGGCTTCCTCCTCCATTACAGTCTTCCTGTGTGATAAGCTCCACCCACTCTGTCCACTTCCTGTGCCTCTGCTCTGCAGACATGGCCGGCTCTGATTGGTGGAACCACCAGCTTCAGCTCAAACCAGAAGCAGAACCAGATGTTTGGGTTTCGTCAGGTTTTCTGTTGGAGCAACGACTCAGAAGGAAGTGATGAAATCTGCTGGAGTGACTCAACTTCCTCTTCCTCTTCATCATCACTACAAACAGAGTGAACAGAACATCTGGTTCTGGTCCTGGTGGCCTTCAACACGTCTCCAATAAACCCTAAATAAAGCCTGACAGCTCGAGAGCCTCTGAACCGTTTACCCATAATGCACTGCAACAAGCACGGCAGTGSAGGGTTGGTGGTTTGGGCTTCTTTCACAGATAGAATCCAGGTCCTACATGGGTCCAGTCAGAGTCCAGAACCTGACCCTGATGGGACCTTCAGAGAGAACAGGAGTGGACCAAAGGTCCTCCACAACCATGTGAGAGACCAGGACCAGAACTGAGGTTCTGGATCAGGAATGGAAGCAGATTCTGGTTTTGTTACGGGATCAGTTTGAGTCCTGAAACCCTGGACCTGCAGGACTCGGTTCAGTTTCTTTGAGCTGGTTCTGATTTGAAACTGAAAAACAAACAAACAAACAAACAAACAGAGGTGATGACATGTGACAGAACATGATCTCTCTCTCTCTCTCTCTGAGTGTAGGTCTCTCGCCCTGACATGACTCTGGCTCTATATTTAACCCGCGGGCCTCCTCCCTCCCTCTTTCACACATACTCCACATATTGAGGCGTCTGACAGCAGCAGGATGGAGGTAAAACTGCCAGGCTTTGTTTCCTCACGGCTTTATTTATTTATTTATTTATTTACAGAGAGCAGGTGAATGAAACGGTCGGACCCCCGCTGTGACGGACGTTACTTTGGCTTCGGCTCAGGAAGAATCCTGCAGGTTAGGTTCGGTGGTGAGTTGTGAGCGAGTCGACAGGAAACCAAACGGTGCATCGTCGACATAACTGTGGTCTGACATGTCGTCTGCTCGTTCCTTCAGTCAGAGTATTTAACAACAGCAGCTGATTTTTAATAACTTACCTCAGATCTGAGCAACAAAACCAGTCAGACGTGATGATGACGTGTTTATTTGTTACTAAAGATGATATTTTTTAATGAACTGTGGTTCCAGACTGATCAGCCATTGTTCCACACAAGGTGTACCTCAGGGCTCCATGTTTAGCCTCTTACTATTCTGCATTCATCCACAACATGACGACAAAAACTGACCTCAGTTTAGTTTAAATATTGAGAATAAATGTCACAATGTCATTAAGAAAAGATCTTTAGATGTGGTTCTACCTCACCTGAAGACCTGCTGAGGACCAGGTAGTTTTATGTTCCGATTTTTAAAACCCGACCAAAACTGTAAACAGATGATGTGAAACACTTCCTGTTTACAGTTTGTTTGGTGTATTTGTCTTAAAGTGGATTTGTTGGTGAGATGTCTTTATTAGACCTCGTCATGGACCAGCTGTCAAATCATTCAACATGATGGACAGTTTCAGTTAAAATCATGGAATCCCAGAAAGATGAACGTCTGCAGGAACCAAGAGAAAGACCAGGTGTGCAGGACGTTAGAGGACAGAGACACAGAGGAAAGTGATCATTAATTAGGTCTTTACTTTGGTCCAAACACGTCTCACGTTTATCTGTTCTTTTAGACGTCACTTCTGTTTGGATCATGTGACCAAACAAAAACAAACGTCCTAGTTTCAGTGAAACTTTTACTTTGAGCTGAAAACCTTTTCCACTTTGAACCAGGAGGTCCAGGTTCTGATGCCTGGAACCAGGTTTGAGTCATTGTTTCTTCATATTGTTGTTAGAAATGGTTGTGGGGTGTGCAGCAGGGAGCTTTGTTAAAACTCCAAAATGTCTGGACCTGTTGGCCTGGTTCTGGTTCTGAGTGGCCTTTAGTTGGAAGATGTTTTACAATGTTTGTCAGGAGCAGGTTTGGTGATAAACAACAACACTGAGATGAAATGACTGCAAAAAGAATGAAGTCTAAGTTGTTGTTGTTGTTGTTGTTGTTGTTGTTGTTGTTGTTGTTGTTGTTGTTGGGAGGTCAGAACCAGTTCAGTGAGACTCAAAGGTCTAAATGTTTTGGCTCTCAGTGATGTTTGTTCCTGTCAGACTTTTAACTTGTTTTTATTTAAGTTTTTCAGCTGTTAATGGTTGTCGAGCTGCTCAGAGAGAGARAACAGCTAAAGGGTGTTTTTTGTTATTTTAGAGTCTTTACAGCCAGAGTCCTGGTTCTGGTCCTGGTCTAACCCTCACATAGACTCAGGAGCAGGAAGTGGTTTAACGGTTCTTCTCTTTCGTCACATCCTGCCTTCAGTTATGAGTGGAGCTGTTTGTGGGTTTATAACCTGAGGAGYGTCAGGGTGAGAACTGTCATCCCACCATAGTTAGAACACACTCTCCGGTCCCCATTTTTAAAAAAGGGGACCACCACCCCGGTTTGCTACTCCACAGGAGTTGTCCCAGTCCTTCATGATGTTGGAGACGTCACAGCCCCACAACATCCAGAGCCTTCAGCATCTCGAGGTGAATCTCCTCCACCCCTGGCTCCCTGCCACCTCGGTGACCTCTGCCCTGATAATGGACTCGTCTTCCCCCAAGTCTTCAGACTCTGCCTCCTCAAATGTGGACATAGAGGGTGGATTGAGGAGACCCTCAAAGTGTTCCTTTGTCCTCTTAACAACATCCTGAGTCTGGTCCAGCAGCCCCCACCCAAACCAWGTACAGCCTGGGCCAGGMAACACTCCTTTTCTGAGCCTCCGAATGTTTTACCAGAACCTCCCTGAAGCCAGYTGAAAGTCCTTCTTCATGGCCTCTCCAAATTCCTCCATGCCTGAGTTTTTACATCTGTAACCACCGAAGCCGCAACCATTCTGGCCACCCATCAGCTGCTTCAGGAGTYCTCTGGGAAAGCCAAGTCCAGAAGGCCTCCTTCTTCAGCCTTATGGCCTCCATCAGCAGACCCTTTGGTTGCCRTCATGACRGGCRCYGATGACCTTCAGGCAACAACTCCWAGAAAGYGCAYCTACAATGGAGGCCSTGAACACGGCCCATTCAGATTCCATGTCCTGTGTTGGACTGGGACATCCATGTCCTGTGTTGGACTGGGACATGTGAAAAACTCTCCTGAAGGTGAAGGAGGGTCCTTCACCTGCTGCCCAGCATGTACCTGACCTTAATTTGTCCTCCCTGCAGGTGGTGGGTCCACRTGGAGGTGGCCTTCTGTAGTCCTTTCAGCCTGAGCCCCAGGAGCCAAGACTCAACCACCAGGTGCTCACCTGTGACAAACAACATAGCCCCCAGGATCACAAGGGTACTCAAACCCCTCCACCAGGATCACGAGGGTACTCAAACCCCTCCACCAGGATCACGAGCGTACTCAAACCCCTCCACCAGGATCACGAGGGTACTCAAACCCCTCCACCAGGATCACGAGGGTACTCAAACCCCTCCACCAGGTTAACGTGGTGATTCTGAGGAGGGGATAATCTAATAATCTAATCTTATTTTCCTAATTGTTATTTTGTTGTTGTTGAGTGGAGATTTTTCTTGTCTTTCCTCACGTCAGTTCTCGGTGAACCAGCTTGTTTTGTTCAGGCTCAGTCCAGGTGAGCTCAGRTGTACAGAACTCACCTGGACTTGTGTTTTCTTACCTGTTCCTGCAGGAGGAGGCCAGGCCCCGCCCCTCTGTGTCCGAACTTGCAGGTAGATTCAAAGGTTCGACTCAGCCGGACAACGAAGCTGTGAGTTTATTTCAGATGCTTCCGTCTGAAGCAGCAGTTTTTGTTTGTGTTTATTGTTTGTTGTTGTTGTTTATCAGAATAAACCAGTCAGACGACGACCACCTCGGACCCTACAGATTCCAAAACCCTCCAKCGAGGATCAGGTGATTTGTTAACCTGACGTTATATTTTGTTAAGTGTTGTAGGAATAGGTGTCGCTGTGATGGGTTGTAAAGGTGATGGAGCCAAGCTGTCATCTATAAACAGCTTTCTGACCTCTACGGTCAACACATAGTGATGGTGGCACTCTCCATGGACAAACACTAACATACGTTCAAATGATCTACGACAAGAACAACAGGATGTTAAAAAAACAAAGTGAGCTGAAACTGTTTGTTTGTGTTAGGCTCCGCCTCCCAACACGTCTCCTCAGAAAGTCAAGAGGAACTCTGCTCTGATCGAGAAGCTCCAGGTGAGTCCAGGTGATTTGTGATKAACTCTGTTGCCCCCTGCTGGTGAGGAGGGGTGTTGTACTCTGACATCACGGTGACATCACTCTCATTGTTCAGGCCAACCTCGCTCTCTCTCCCACGTCGGCGCCTCTGAAGAGCCCCGGCCTCAGAGTCCTGCCTCTCGCCTTCACGCCACCCTCCCCTGGCCCTGCCTCTGCTACCCAGGTAACTACACCGTCCTCGGCCACGCCCACCAGCCCCATTTCCACCTCTCCGTTAACAGAAGAAGGCCCCGCCTCCTTTGAAGCTCCTCCCACTGCAGCAGATGGAAATATCCTGCAGAGCATCAACAAGGTGAGATTTTAACACAAACACACCTGTCTGTCCTCACCTGTCTGTCCTCACCTGTCTGTCCTCACCTGTTTTTCCTCACCTGTCTGTTCTCACCTGTCTGTCCTCACCTGTCTGTCCTCACCTGTTTGTCCTCACCTGTCTGTCCTCACCTGTCTGTCCTCACCTGTTTGTCCTCACCTGTCTGTCCTCACCTGTCTGTCCTCACCTGTTTGTCCTCACCTGTCTGTCCTCACCTGTCTGCCCTCACCTGTTTGTCCTCACCTGTCTGTTCTCACCTGTCTGTTCTCACCTGTTTGTCCTCACCTGTCTGTCCTCACCTGTTTGTCCTCACCTGTCTGTTCTCACCTGTCTGTTCTCACCTGTCTGTCTCTGCTCTGATTGGTCCGTCTCCAGAGCAGAGCTCGGGGCTCAATTCGCCGACCTCCGTCCCGCCGCCACAGGAAGTCGAGTGTTGGAGACGAGGTCAGCGACGGCGACGTCACTAAAGTGATCTCCCAGACTGAGGGGGAGGAGACAGGAGGAGGAGGAGGAGGAGGAGGAGGAGGTTTTCAACAAGGATGTTCAGACAGATTCTTCACCTCCTGAGAAAACTGAGGAGGAGGAGATGAAGATCAGCTGTGAAGAAGAGGAGGGAGGATTGTCTTCACACCTGAGAGAGGAAGAGGAGGAAA